AGGGGACGGCCCGGGCCCCCGTCGGGCAGTCCGCCCCAGGATTTCGGGTCACAGCCTGCCGGTCGGTCCCTGTGGGTGCCTGACGACTGTCAACGCGGATAGTAGTTGCTACCGCTACTAATGGTTAGGGAAGGGGGGGGCAAGAGGACCCCAACAGGTGTCTGCAGTCCCAGGAAACGTGGGGGGGGGGGTTAGCCCTGACTGACAGCTTCCTCGTTACCCATTGCGTCAATGGCAGGCCGGCCCTGAGTGCCAGCCCTGCATCCAGGTTCGCAGGCCTGGAAGGTCGCTGCGATGGAGGAGATCGTAGTGATAATGGCTGCAGCCGGCACCGCTGGGGCCAGGCACTGCGCCCAGACTGCTGTGCGGGTCCCGTCAGTCCTGCCCGGACCCAAGAAGAAAGGCATGAACTCCATTTCCGGCTGAGGGGACGGAGATTTAGGAGCAGCGCATTGACTTGTCAAAACAACAGCATCTTAGCAATAGGGAATGTGGAAATGGCTGAAACAAGCTTGATCCCCTGGCCCCGGGGGGGTGCCTAGGTCCTGGGAGGGAGGGGGAGGAGCGGGGTGTCTAAGGCAGCAGGGGGTGGGGTGCGTTATCAGCCCAGGTGAGGTTCCTGGGTCCCAACCGCAGCTATAAACGGGGTTACATCCTCCTTCCTGTTCCTTCACTTGATCACCTGATGGTGGATTTCTCCATGGATTCTAACCCAGGCTGCCCCGCCCCCCCTTCCATGTCTGACCCTTGACCTCAGGGCCTGGAGTGGGCCTTGGACCTGCTGTGTTCCTCCCCTGCAGCCTGAACCTTCACTCCACGAGGGGGGCTTTCTGCTGCCTGGGAAGCTGCTCAGACATCCGGCTCCTGGGCCGTTTCTTACTGTGGGGCTTCCTTCCTTGTGCTCCATGCAGGATGTCGCCATTGCGCTCACCTCCTGCTTCCTGTGCATCCTCGTGCCGCCGGGCTGGGTGCTGTCGAACCTGGAGAGCTACAAGAAGCGGGAGTGAGGGGCTGTCCTCCCTCCCCTGGGACCGGACCGCACAGCCCGTCTGTCCTGATCATGTCTGCCGCATTCCTGGCCGCCTCCCCTGGAGCATGTCCTTCAGCGACAGTGGCCCCTTCTGCAATATGACCTCTTGATTTCTCCATTGTGATCATGGGACCATGTAATTCAGTGTATAAGGCCTGCTGGGTAGGACCCACCTTGGAACAATAAAGTCTATGTAAATCATGCTTCAGAAACTCATCGTGCCTTCCCCCTGGGCTTCTGCCTCCATACTTGAGCTGAGGCTGGTGTCGGGTGGGGGTGTGGAGAAGGGGGCCCGCCTGGCCTCATGTCCCGGCTGGCTGATGGCGTGGTGGGTCCTGGGAGCCCAGCCGTTCCCCCTGCTGTCTGGGAGGGCTCCTTCCTTCGCATGCTTTCCTGTGTTGAAAGGTTTTCACTTGGGAAAACAAACACTGTTGTTGTTGGGCAGCCTTTTGTGCTCACCTTCTCTAGCTCCCCTGGTTGTGCCAAGCTCAAGGCTGTGTGTGTGTGTGTGTGTGTGTGTGTGTGTCGCTCATTGGGGCCAGCTCTGCTGCTGGAGGCCTCTTTCCTGTGGGGCCAGCCTTCCCTGCCCTCAGTCGGAGCTCCAACCATTTCTCAGGTGGCGATGTCCTTCCTAGTTGGGGGACTGGACAGTGTCTTGCTTTTTTATGTCAGCCCCAGGGCCCTTACCTTCTATCGCTACATCCGTAAGTGCTTATGGACTGGCTGGCTTCTCCCTGCGCTTCTCTGTCCCTTCTCCTCTGCTTGGGGAGTTGCTGCTCCTCCATCCCTAGGGCCCTTCCTGGGGGACTGGGGGGGGCCGCCTTAGCTGGGAAACGCTCCACACTGAGCTGGGATCCTGACTTCCGGTGTCTGGAAGGAACCCTCAGACGGCTGTCCCCACCTGGAGGGCAGCTTTCGCCTCCTTTGCATTCTCTTTGCCGGGGTCCCTTGCTCCGGGTGATTCTGGACAGACCCAGGTCCAGTGCTCCCTGTGGAGCTGCTGCCAGGCCTTCTGGGCAGGATGGAGGGCAGAGCTGCCAGTTAAAGCTGAAGGGCCCTGGGTGCCAGAACACATCTCCCGAAACCCTCTTGGGCAGGGCTGTTTCCTGATCTGTGCTGACAGCAGCTCAGGATGAACCCTGCTCTCCCTTTTGTCTAATCTTTCCTGGCCTCTGTGTGGTGTCCAGTGATGCCTGGGGGGCCCAGTGCCCATGGCTCCTCCCTGAGGGGTGGGGAGTGGTGGCTGCCTCCTAAAAGCCTTGTTTCCACGCAGGCCAGTCTGTGTCTGGGCCTGAGGGGCAGGGCCTTGAATGCCGGGAGGTGTTCACAGGGTGGGATACTGGCCAGGGGAGTGGGATGTAGGATCTGAAGTGCAGACCTAAGCCAGGCTGGATGCTGAGGGAGGAATATCCGCCTGTCACCGGCAGGTTCCTCAACAGCTCCCTTGTCTTTGGGGGGAGGGAGCTCATGGCTATCACCTCCCAAACAACGGGGTCACCCCTGTCCCCTGCCTCACTCCGGGAGGCTGTAGGGAGCGGCCATAGGGTCAAGCCTCAGACTGGCCTGTGGCAGAGCCACATACAAGTCCCAGCTGGGAGGGCAGCCCTCCTAGCACAATGAAGCCTGACCTTATAGTCCCCCCTTGTTCCTCGGTAGCTAATGGGCTGTGGGAGGTGCAGCAAGTGCTGCCAAAACAAGGCTTGAGTGAGGAAATAGATTTGAAACTCACAAGAACATTGTAAACATGTTGACTACTCCCCTTGCTTTGCTTTGTGTGCTCTGACTATAAAATAAAGCTTCGCTTACAGGCTGGGTCAGTGTCCTCACCCAGGCAGGATCCACCTGGTCCCAACTGTATTCTCTTGTCTGTCTGCTTTAATCCTCCACCCCCTCCTCAGTTCACCCCTGGCCGTGCTGGACGGTTCCGGAGGCTTTGAGCTGCGAGCTCAGGTTGCTGTGGACACATGAGGCCACGGGCTGCCATGTAGCAAGAATGTGACCCCAGGACAGGAGAGGTGTCTGGGGTAACTCCACTGTCCTGCCCAGGGTTTTGACTGGGGGTCCTCACTCTGTGTTCCTGGAACCCAAAGGGACAGCGGTCCCCTGTCCTAGCAGGACCACTCCAGCCCAAAGCTGCACATCTCAGGCCACGGTGCCAGTTGACGAGAAGCGAGTGGTTACAGGCAAGTCCTTCAGAGCCCTGGCCCGAGGGCCCTGATCGAGCCCGCAGCTCCTGGGCCCTTGTCTCCCACAGCCTGCTGGGCCCGTGGCACGTGGATGTGGGCAGGGTCACACTTGGGGGTGGATGCGAGTGACCGGGCATGCTTGAGCCCCATTCTCCCTTTGGTTCTTCGTGTGGTTCTAGGCCTGAAGCCTGGTCACCTTTCAGCGTCCCTCTCCCATCCCCTGCAGAGAAATCGGGCTCCCTGTCCTCCCAACCAGCATTTCCTGTGTCTGTCTGCAGGGGCCTGCGGGGGCCGAGTCTGGAGGATGGTGTCTGCGTGGTGTGCTTGCTGGGTGGGGGGAGGCTGCGGTCCTGGCAGATACTATGTCAGGAACGGGGCTGGGAGGCCTGGGTTTGAGGCCTGGTTTGGCCATTTACTATATGACAGTGGGCAAGTCAATTAGCCTCTCTGAGCCTCAGTGTTCATGATTTTAAATTAAGGTGGTGTGACCAGCAGAATTGTGGCCTCCCAAAGATGTCCAGGTCCTGAGCCCTGGAATCTGAATAGGTCACTTTACATGGCAAAGGGGACTCTGCAGATGTGACTAAATTAAGCGTGTGGAAGTGGGAGAGGATCCAACGGGCCCAGTGTAATCCTTATGGGGGACGATGGACAAGGAAGGCGGAAAATGGTCCTTTCGGGCGGACTCTGCCCACCTGCCTGCCTGCCGTGCTGGCTTTGAAGATGGAGAGAGTGGGCCGGGAGCCAAGGAACGCAGCGACCTCCGGGACCTGGGGACAGCCCTCGGGTACAGCCAGCAGGAACAGGGCACCTCGTCCTACAGCAGCAGCAGCTGGATTCTGCCGACAACCTGCCGGCGTGGGAAGCAGATGCTCCTTCAGAGCTCCCGGAAGGCACGCAGCCGGCAGACACGTATCCTTTCTGTCCGGTGGAACCCGGACCGGACCTCTGACCTCTAGGATTGTGAAGTCATACATTTGTGTTGTAAGCCGCCAGGTGTGTGGGGGTTGGTGGATGGTAGCAGTAAGGCAACGAAGGCACCTCCTGGGGCGGGTGCGTGGAGGCTCTCCCCGGAGAGGCCGGCACCAGCGGACCGGACCCTCGCAGACTTGAGATGTGCTGGAATGTGAGGTATTTACATGAGGCGGCGTGTGGGTGGTGTGAGTCTGGGCGGGGTGGCTCTCTCTGCCGCCTCTGCCCCTCCTCTGCTTGCCTTTTGCCTTAGGTGGCCCGGACCCTGCAGGCGAGTATCAACCCAGCCGGCAGCCTGCACATACCGCCTGCCACACGTACCGCCCTGCCACGCACACCGCCCTGGCAGCCTGCGCCTACCGCCCTGCCACGCGTACCGCCCTGCCACACATACCGCCCTGCCACGCGTACCGCCCTGCCACGCGTACCGCCCTGCCACGCGTCATCAGGCTGGCCTCTCTGATTTTGGAGCCGGCTGCCTATGGGCCTACCGCCCTGCCACGCGTACCGCCCTGCCACACATACCGCCCTGCCACGTGTACCGCCCTGCCACACGTACCACCCTGCCACGCGTCATCGGGCTGGCCTCTCTGATTTTGGAGCCGGCTGCCTATGGAGCCTTGTGGGTTCCAGAGGCTCATGTGGGGCCAGGCATGCCCCCACTCTTCAAGCTGGCCTGGGAAAGGATCACCGATCCCTCATCTTTGGCTCACCTTGGAGGCTTTTCCTGGCCACGGCCTTCCTGTGAGGATTGTGGCCCTCCCAGGGCCCATGCCATGTCCTTGCTGCCAGGCCCTCTTCCCTGGAGGTGGGAGAAATTGAGGGGGCCTGGCAGCCATGTCGCCCGGGGGCCTGTGCCATTCAGTAACACTCTCTGAGACCAAGGTTTCCCAGTCCCTGGGTCCTGGTGCGGTGTCGCCTCTCCCTCCACCTGACAATCCAGCTGGCATGGACGGGGGTGCAGGCACACTGCGAGCCGGCCCGGCTGTGAGGAGGCACCTGCGCCGTGTCTGTGCTGCGGGAAGGCAGCCTGGGCTGCTGCCTGTCGCCTTGGTGACTGTCCAACAGCAGCCTGAGCCCCGCCGCCAGTGCTGCCTGTTGCACTGCAGACCTCGCCAGCCAGGGGCTGCCGCACTGGGCGTTTCTGGGTTGGCACACTGGGAGGCAGAGGAAGTCGAGCTGTGCTGGTGACTCCTGGCAAATGTGCGGTGGGGCTGTAGATGCTTCAGGTAGAGAACCGAAACCCTAAGATGGTAAAAGTAACATTTACCATGGAATGAGGGTAAGAGCAGTTCTTCACCACAAAAGAGATGGACATGGAAAAGCGGGGGCAAAACTCGAGCCCCCTGCACCCTGGCTGGTGTCTCGGTTGGACCATCACCTGTGCACCGGAAGGCGGCGGGTTTGATTCCTGGTCAGGCACATACCCAGGTTGTGGGTTCCATCCCGTCTGATCGATGTTTCTCACACTGATGTTTCCCTTCCTCTCTCTAAAATCAATTAAAAAAAAGCTGGGTGCCCTGGGCCAGTTTCCTGCTCGCTGTTCTGCTTGACAAGGAGGGAGGGCAGCAGGTTGGAGAAAGGACCCCCATTTACAGGCCCTTTGTACATGGGGGCGGGGGTTTCTTTAAGCCCCAGGCCCTTGCGAGGGAGGCGTTGGCAGTCAGTGTAGCACGCGGATTCCTTCTGACTCCAGAGCAGCTGTGCTCCCTGTCCTGACCATTAGTCCCAACCTCAGCCCCCCCCACCCCCGCCCATTCTCCCTCTCATCACAGACTCCCCCCTTGAAGTGCCTCCGCCCCATTCTCCCTCTCATCACAGACTCCCCCCTTGAAGTAAAGGAGGAGGGGGTAGGAGTTGTCTTATACCTATTTTCAAGAGCTAGTAAGATAGTTGATGACAAAACATTAGGCTTCAATCTTTAGTAAAGCCTAATATGTTTTTGTCATCAACTGTCTTACTAGCTCTTCACAGAATACAATTCTCTTCTACTGACGGAAGAGCTCACCGCTAGTCACAGATTGTGCTGTTACATCTGGAAGAGGAATGCACAGCTGGGTGGGCATAGGGTCCAATTGGGTGGATCCTTTGCTTTCTGGACTTTGGAAGAAACCCAAGGCTCACTGACCCAGTAAGTAGTAATTTGCCAGGTTTCTGGGACACAGATTTGACTTTTGTAGTGTTGCTGTGGGGAGGTCACCGGGGCTGTGTGGTGAGCCCAGGCACCAGTGCACCAGCTCCGGGACTGGACAAAGCTCATGAACACCTTCGGTCACATTCCCCTCCTGCACTGTCACCAGCTGAGGGGTCTGCCTGGGACTGGGGCACAGCTCCCGATGCTCAAAGACCACTACTGCACCGTCCTGCAAAAGGCAGGGGCCAGAGCCCCAGGCGATCGCCTAACAGTAGCTTCAGTATCCAAGGCCTTACCGCTTCGTAACCTTTCAAGATTATATATATGCTTTAATTGATTTTAGAGAGAGAGGGAGAGGGAGAGGGAGAGATAGAAACATCCATCAGCTGCCCTTCGAACGCCATCTACTGGGGATTGAGCTCAAAACCCAACCGGGGACTCTTGGTTCATGGGTCAATGCTCAACCAATGAGCAACACCGACCCGACTGGGCCACTTTGTAACCTTTTTATTAGGTTACAATTAGGTTACAGGCAATTTTAACAGACTGCACAGAAGCATCCTGTGTGCCCTCTACCCAGTTTCCTCCATTAGTAACATTTTGCAAAACTGTAATACAGCATATACTAGGATATTCATATAGTTAGATACAGAATGTTTTGCCCTGGACAGTGTGGCTCAGTTGGTTGAGCATCATCCTGGGAACTGAAAGGTCACTTAAAAAAAAAAAAATCCTCACCCAGCCCTTGCCAGTTTGGCTCAGTGGATAGAGCATCGGCCTGCAGACTGAAGGGTCCCGGGTTCGATTCAGGTCAAGGGCACATGCCCAGGTTGTGGGCTCGATCCCCAGTAGGGAGCCTGCAGGAGGCAGCCAATCAATAAATCTGTCTCATCATGGAAGTGTCTATCTCTCTCTCTCCCTCTCCTCTCTGAAATCAATAAAAATATATTTTAAAAAGTCCTCACCCAAGGAATGAAGAGATTTTTTCCATTGATTTTTAGAGAGTGGAAGAGAGGGGGTAAGGGAGGAAAGAGAGAGAGAGAGAAACGTCGATTGGTTGCCTCCTACTGGCGCCCTACTGTGGCTGGGGATTGAACCTGCTACCAAAGTATATGCCCTTGACCAGGGAATCAAACCAGTGACCCTTTGAGGGTCGACGCTCTAACCACTGAGTAAAATAGGCCAGGCCAAAGGTCACTGGTTTGATTCCCGGTCAGAGCACATGCCCAGGTTTGGAATTCAGATTGGTCAGGGGCAGAGTGTGTATGAATTGGTCAGTTTCTCTTTCTCCTATCTTCTCTCTCTAAAAAAAATCAATAAAAACACACTAAAGCCCTGGCCCATGTGGCTCGGTTGGGCATCACCAGTGCACCGAACGGCTGCTGGTTCAATCCCAGTTAGGGCATGTGCCCAGGGCTGTGGGCTCAGTCCCCCGTGAGGGGCTTGCAGGAAGCAGTCGAATCATTGATGCTTCTCTCTCTCTCTCCCCCTCCCTCTCTGAAATCAATAAAAAAAATTTAAAAAAATACAATAGACTAGTAAGAAAGATACAGAATGTTTCATCTCGTTTCCTTTTTACAACCACACTCGCTTTCCTCCGGCCCCCACTCCTTCCTTAAGCCCTGGCAGCCACTAATCCAGCGGTTCTCAACCTGTGGGTCGTGACCCCTTTGGGGGGTCGAACGACCCTTTCACAGGGGTCGCCTAAGACCATCGGAAAACACATATATAATTACATATTGTTTTTGTGATTAATCACTATGCTTTAATTATGTTCAATTTGTAACAATGAAAATACATCCTGCATATCAGATATTTACATTACGATTCATAACAGTAGCAAAATTACAGTTATGAAGTAGCAACGAAAATAATTTTATGGTTGGGGGTCACCACAACATGAGGAACTGTATTAAAGGGTCGCGGCGTTAGGAAGGTTGAGAACCACTATATCTGTTTTTCATTTTTATCAACGCCCTGCTTTTTTTTTTTTTTTTCCTAATATATTTCCATTGATTTCAGGAAGGAAGGGAGAGGGAGAGAGAGATGAGAGAGCAACATGGGCCGGCTGCCCCGCCCGGCCAGGAGCCCCTCCTGGGGATGATGCCCGACCGGAAGCGCACGGCCGCCAAGTCCCCGCTTTCACCAAGACTCGCTTTTCCCACTGATTTCAGGGAGGAAGGGAGAGGGAGAGAGAGAACATCAATGATGAGAGCGCATCATGGGCCGGCTGCCCCGCCCGGCCAGGAGCCCCTCCTGGGGATGATGCCCGACCGGAAGCGCACGGCCGCCAAGTCCCCGCTTTCACCAAGACTCGCTTTTCCCACAACCAGAGGCGCCGGCTCCGGAGTTCGGTCCCGAGAGCTGGCCTGGCCCCGGGGCCTCC